TCTGGAAGTTTGCGAAACTTAGTTCTGGAGATTCTGGATCACTCTTGCCTAATTAAGTGCACTATTTAAGCGGCCAATATTAACCTTTGCGGTTGCTTTCTGAATGCGCATTGTAAACGAGCGTTAATCGGCACCAGTTTGATTTGATCGATTACTGTGAGGATGCCGAATTTGTTCAAAGTGCCAAAGTGCTAGCCGCAACTTTTGTCCAGTTTTTTTGCTCCACTCTGTAAATAGTGGTGAGTCATTTGGCAGGTTGAATTATCGAATTTCAACTGTCTCTGTCTGTCTGCTGCACGGATGTATTTCGGTCCTTTTCTAGACTTATGCCACGTAGTTTGAAAATAGGGGAAGGTTGTGCAAATTGTATACATTTGTTATTGTTTCAGAGCCAGTTGGGCCATGGCACCAGTTTCCCGTACAGTGCGCCAGGGGGCGGCCGCCCCGACTACTCAGGGATTCCCCAAAGACATGACGACCCCCTTTCGCTCCACCAAGCGCTCGGACAAGCCGTGGAGGACGCTCAAGCCGGTATTGACGACAACACGGGCTTCATTACCGATTTACCGTTGCTCAAAGGTAAGACGGCAGTTTCACTCACCTCACATGATCAATAGGGGTGCGAATCGGGCACCCTTTTCGTCCACCCCTCGGGCATTGGCAACGACCGAAAAACGCCTTGGGTGGTCCAAAAGGGCTGCTATAGTGCTAATTAGTGCTCTGTAAGCATTGTTTATGGGCGTGGCAACATCTGCCCAATATGGAGCCAACTAAATGGGGTGCAATTATCATTACGGGGGGTAAAAATTACAAAAAAAGTAACTTTTTTTTTTTAAATAAATAACTGGCTATTATTTAGGCATGAAAGGGGGTAAGGATCATTCGGGCGCCAATGCGATGGTGTCTCCTAGTGACGTGTTCTGTTCGGTGCCCGGTCGCTTGTCATTGCTGTCATCCACGTCAAAATACAAGGTATGCATTTGGTCAAAATCGCGTTCCTGAGTCGCGGCGACTGACATTTGATGTTCCTATTTGATAGGTGACGGTCGGCGAGGTGCAACGCCGATTATCACCGCCAGAGTGCCTCAATGCGTCCCTGCTGGGCGGCGTTCTTCGTCGCGCGAAAAGCAAAAATGGTGGACGCATTCTCAGGGAGAAATTGGAGAAAATCGGTCTCAACCTGCCGGCCGGTCGACGGAAAGCCGCCAACGTCACTCTGCTCACCTCCCTAGTAGAAGGTAAGTTGTTTTTTTCAGTGCATTGAGGCAGGTGTGGTGTATTATGGGACAGCTACATAGACTGGAAAAAATCTGAAATAGCCCAGAAATTTCTGATTTTTTTTTGTACAAAAGCGATTTAGATAACGCAGAAAAAACAATTATGGCGTCACTACATCAGTTTCCAAAACCATTGGTGCAGATAAACTTATCGCAATCTGTACTCGCTTTAGTACTCGTGGTAGCCCCAGCATTTATGTGGACGTCAATCCTGACAGTTCTTCTCAACATGCTCGATGCAATTTATTTAACTATGCGTCCACATATACATTGGGGCCTACCACTAGACACATGAGTCAAACTGTCCGTTGCCATGGCGATGCAAGTGTTTACGTGCGGAAATGTCACATGCCGCACGAATGACTGAGACTGTTTGCACCATGGGTTGGATTAAGTTCGATCATTGAAAAAATGCAAAAGGCATTTTTGCGAGTTTTCAAACTTCAAAACTTGAAAAATTGATATTTTTTCCAGGTGAAGCCATTCATCTGGCCAGAGACTTTGGATATGTGTGCGAGACGGAATTTCCTGCGCGCCAAGTAGCCGAGTACCTGCTGCGTCAACACGGAGAAACGCCGCGCAGAAAAGAACTGCTCCAAGCCACCAAACAAGTGACGAAAGAACTGATGGACTTGCTCAATCAAGATCGATCGCCGTTGTGTAATACGCGACCGCAAATCCTTCTGGATCCGTCAATCCAGCGGCATTTAACGCACTTTTCGCTCATCAGTCACGGATTCGGCAGTCCCGCGATAGTGGCTGCGCTCACCGCCATCCAGAACTTCCTCAGTGAAAGTTTGAAACATTTGGACAAAGTGTTCCCAGGACAGAACTCGGGTCAGCAGGGCCAGGGCATGCATGTCACGTCTAGTCTGGACAAGGCCAAACTCGACGACAAGAACAAGTGATGTTGTGTGAGGTCGTGCTGTGACCTGAGGAAGGCGTTCGGGTTCGAAACGTAGTTATGGGGGTAAGCAGCGTACTTGGCTGTTCTCAGCACGCTCGGGCATAAATGAGCTTCACTTTGCCCAGAGTAGGTATGTGGAAGCAAGGGCGGATTCAGGTGGGGGAGATCATAGGGGTCATGACCCCCCCCATTCAATTCTCTATCCAACGAATGGGGCTTAAGAAACTTAAGAGTCGATTTTGCCACTCAAAAAAAACCACGCAAATCTTAAAACTTCTTCAATTCAAGCATTTTTTGAGAAAACTGCCATTTCCTTATCGATGGTTCACTTTCTAAAACGGCCATTTATTTCTGTCTAGAATGATGTACAAATGAGCGTTCTTGCTCATTTTGCCTCCGAGAAATGAGCAAAAACGGGACGGAAAACATGGAAT